AAAATTGCTTATTTCACACAGGCATTTTGATCATCTGTAGCCCTGATCAGGGCATCAAAACTCAGAAAAATGTACCAGCCCCAAAACCCAAATGCCTTTTTGCCCTAGGCTATGTCTACGCTGGCAGCTTCTTGCGCAAGAACTGTTTTGTGGAAGAGTTCTTGCGCAAAAAGTCTTCCACAAGAGCGCATCTACACTGGCATGTGCTTTTGCGCAAGAGCATCTATGGCAGCGTGGATGCTTTCTTGCACAAGAAAGCTCTGATGGCCATTTTAGCCATAGAGGTTTCTTGCACAAGAAATTCATATTGCCTGTCTACACTGCCCTCTTGCGCAAGGGGCTTATTTCTCGTGGGGAGAGGAATAACTCTTCTGGCAAAAGCCCTGTTTTCTGATGCCAGACTGTAAATTTACTTGCGCAAGAACGCACGAGCAGTGTAGACACCCGGCAAGTTTTTGCGCAAGAACAGCTGTTCTTGTGCAAGAAACCACCGGTGTAGACGTAGCCAAACAGTTTATAGCCCCAGCACATGGTGAAATAGGCAAGTTCGGTAGTCAGAATAACTAAAGCATTTTGGTTTCTAGCCCTGGGTGATAAAGTCTACTGTGTATTACTAAACCTGGTTATTAGCAAAATAGTTGACCCTATAAAGGTCACCAGTCCCTCAATCTAGTAGTGCTTTCTGATGCAGGACAGGATACAGCAAATCCTAACTATGGGACCAAAGTAATCTTCAGTCCCTGCTTTATACTCAATAACAAAACAAAACCTAAATATCTGGTCAGTCTTGGCTTCTTATCTACAATGCCTCTGTGTGTGTGTTTGCTCCATGAGTTTACAATTTTCTTGTCTCTGTGCAATAGCCCACGTAATCTATTATTCTGATGACAATAATCCCTCTTGACCTACATTATAGTCATGGCTGACTGATAACAAATCTCTGCTGAACTTGGAAAAGATTCACTGATTCCAAGCATTAATAGTATAATTATCCCAGGTTCTTACTGAATATCAGTAGTTTCCAGGGCTTTTTTGATAACTTTATTGAAGGCAAATAACAAACATGAGGTCCCTTATTAGCAATAGAATGTACATCTTAAGGCTCATCTACACAGGGACGTTATACTTGTATAATATAGGGGATGAATTTAAAGCGCTATAGTTATACCAGTGTGACTCCCGGTATGGACGCTCTTATTCCAATATGAGTATCTTTTCCCAGGTTTGTTTATGTTCTCTTGGAAGTGATTTAAATTAAGACCAGGGAAGCCGCTCTTATTCTGGAATGAGAGTGTCCAC